GTGGGTGTGTGTGTGTGTGTGTGTGTGTGTGTGTGTGTGTGAGACTCTCTCTACACTCCCTGAATACAACTTTCTTGGTATGCAAAGATTTTTAAACACAACGCTTTGTGAGTCCCTAAAGAAGATTTGGTTTCACTTTCAGGTGGTGAGCATTAGATGTGGACAAGTTGGCTCCTGAAAGAGGAAGCAGGGTAGGACATGGACATATAAGGAGATGCTTCCTCAGTCCTGCATGAGACTACCTTATCACACACAGTCGACTTGGAGAAGCTTGAAAGTGATGGGAGTATCTTCAATAATCATAATGCTACATATTCAAGGTAGGCTGTGTGCTCTGCTTATTTTTAAAGTACAGTACATTGGTTTAAACTGTTAATCAAAACACAATAACCCAACATTAACACTTTCTTTTGATTGACAGCTGTGGTCAGTTTGAAAACCAATGCTCTAATTCAGGGGTGTATAACTCTGGTCCTCAAGGGCCCCTGTCCAGCATGATTTAGATGGCTTACATCTCCAACATTCCTGATTCAAATGATTAGCTCATCAGCAAGCTCTTAAGAGCCTGATAACCATCCGGGAAGGTCAACGCATTGTACTTAGATGTAACTACTGTATGCTCATGACAAGCAAAGTAAAGCACAGTTCTTCAGCCCAATTGAAGACAACATGCTTTCCAAATACCTGATATCAACGGAACCATACAATACCTTGGTGTAAGGAGGAAGGTTTTCTCTTTTGGCTCACACCAGTGCAGGGTTTTTCATTGTCAGGATGGATAAATTCCTCCCAAACGACAGTGGCATGTACATGTGTGGTGTCCATGGTTACCTTAACTCAAGTCATTACAATTTCATACAACTAAATGTTTCCACATTTAAAGTATACCGTAGGGCTGCCCGATTGACCAGTGGTTAGCGCGTCAACCTCAGTGCAGAGGTACAGGATTCAATTCCAGCTCTGGCTTCCCTGTGTGAAGTTTGCATGTTCTCCCCGGGCCTGCGTGGGTTTTCTCCGGATACTCCGGTTTCCTCCCACATTCCAAAAACATGCATGGCAGGCTGGGATTGAACACTCGAAATTGTCCCAAGGTGTGAGCGTCAGCACGGATGGTTGTTCGTTTGTGTGTGCCCTGCGATTGTCTGGCAACCGGTTCAGGGTGTCTGCCCGAAGACAGCTGGGATAGGCTCCAGCAACCCCGCGACCTTTGTGAGGATAAGCGGATCGGAAAATAGATAAATGAATGGATGAATGAATGAATTATACAGTGTGTTATGTCCCATTTACTGGTGAGTAAAAGTGTGAAAAGCAGGTACAGTAATGGAAAACAGATCTCCAACAATCTTGCACCTAGGTGGATGTGTTTGTCCGACCACATTGTGGCAAATGTCAGTTTCAGCAGCAAGCAGTGTCAGTTTTTACAAGAATAAGGCAGTAGATACCATAGAAGCTACATGCATATGACAATTATCTCTCTCATATGACACTTAACTCTTAGCCCAAGCACCTCTGTATGTAGTTGTTCTTTAATTTTAATTTGATGTTTGGTGTATTTTTCTTTTCTAGTAAACGGAACATTGGCCACTCCAAAAAACATCATTGTGGAGAGTAAGTAAGAGACATAACACAGCTAGTGCTATCATTGGAGTAAAATACTACTCAGCCTCAAGGTACACTGTATGTAAACGTCTTCAATTTTCACTGACAGGAGAATCATTTGATTATTTTTTTGCTATTGTTACGCATCAAGTTATTATTTATTTTGTTTGGAAGCAAGAAGCAAGAAATTGAAATTCACCACACTACAATGAAGTTTGATTTGGGCAGACTAACTAAAATTTACCGTATGCATGAATGCAAGGCTCGAAATAAAAATGCGGATTTTGCGACTAATATGAACACATAGACTTGTAGAGTGGCCACTCGCCTGGTCCAAGAAGCCACAAACATTTTTTATGACACTATGTCTGGTAATATAGCACAGTGAACGACAAGAATAACTCTCACATTATATTGTCATATTTTTTTTATTGTTAATATGTCCCTGGAATTAACTCGCAAAAAATAAATAAATAAATAAAACCATAAAATATGATCCCCCGCAAAAAAATAAATAAATAAATAAATAAAACCATAAAATATGATCCTCTATGTTACGAAGTTGCTCCTCAAATGATGTCACTGGTGATCAGAAATGCTCCTCAGAGGAGAAAGTTATTTCGAGCCTTGGAATGAGTCCTGCCGAAAGATGAGTTGTCGTCTTTCTTTCTTGCAGAGGCTAACCCAATGCTGTTTGTGGCTGCAGTGGTGTGTACAGTTGCCATATGTGCGTGTCTATATACACTCATTTTGCTGGTGACTATGAAACCCCAGCGGATCATCCCACAACAGAATAGAGAGGTTTGTTCACAGTGAAACACGCATCGCTTGGTATTATCTTGAATCGAATTTAATTAAAATAGAGGTCTCCAAAATCAGAACCGAGAGTCTTGAAAAATTCTGATTGGTCTCC